GAGTAGAGCAGAAAAAGGATCGATAAATAAACGCGATCAATACAATCAATCAATCATCCCATATACATCATATCCAAACCCATCATTCATCTCAGGAAGCCCAGAAACAGTGCTTCAATCTAACAGGTAGAGTACTAAGAATCTAAGAAAGAGTTTATAAATGTAAATAATTATCACTTAAATTCTTTTAAATAAGAAATAAAAACACTTAAGAAAACTCTTTATCTTAGGCTTAAATAAGTATAACTTAGTAAATATTAACTTATTACGCTTATTTAAAGAAAAACATTTTTAAGTTCTTACTATTTTATGCTTAAAAGGCATTAGAGTTTAATTAAATTTTTTAGTTAATACTAGTGTACATAGTTTCTTATTTATTAACTTAACAACTACTAAGTTTTTATTTTAATGCCTTTATGTTCTTATCTAAGGTTTACCTTTTAAAGTTATAGTTAAAGGCTTTTAAGACTAAATCTAAGGTCTTCTCTACTAGTATATCTGCCTGCACATGCAAATTAATAGTAGAAGCATTTAAAACTACCTTTTTATAATTATAAACCTAGGCTTGCAGGATTATATTATTAGCATTAAATAGTTATGTTATTTTAAACTCTAACTAGATACAAAGAAAAATTAGATTATATAGCCTAGTAAGTATTCTACTACTTATAAACCTTTACTACTTTTGCTTATGCAATTAAGCTAGCCTACGCGTAATAAAGAAGTAGAGTTAGATATTAAATAATATAACACACTAGAGAAATAGAACTATATTTAGTAGTTATACAGCCTAATAATTAACTGCATTAAGGGTTTACTAAGGCTACTAAAATTATACTGCTTTTCTATTACTTATAGTCTAAAGACACTTAAATGATTAATCTACTTATTTATTAAAAAGTCTAGAACAGGTTTAAAAAACATCTATTCTCTTACTATTACTCTTATTTTAGTAAATGCTTTTTATTTTAACATAAAAAAAAAGAACAAGTTTTTTTAACTTTTATTTATAAAATTAAGTGTTTAATTAAAGACAAGTAAGCTTTACTATTAAATAATAAATGTAAAACTAAAGCATTAGTAAACCTTTAATTACTATCTAAATACTGTTAGTACTAAGACATATTTAGCTACACTGCAGCCTACTAATTACTAGCACATTGCTTATATAACTATAAGATTGTCTTTACAGAACTTCTTTTTAATAGTTACAGCTCTTTGTATAAACAGAACGTTAAGAAACTAGAGGTAATAAAAAGGTATATTATAAATAATCTAAAATATAGCTTTATTAAGCAGAGTTAAAGCCCTTTTACATTTCTTATCTTTTATGTATAGAAACTAAATAGCAACTTACATATCTATGTTAATTACTGCAAACTTATTGCTATTACCTGCAAAGATATATATCTAATACTATGTATAGATAAACTTCTGTTAAGACTTATAAAGGCAGCTATCTTTATAAAGTTTAATATTTATATAGCTTTTAACAAGATTAGAATAAACCTAAGCTTAGAAAAGTGTACTACTTTTTAAACATAATATAAAATATATAAATGTAAAGTTCTGCCTTTTAGATTATATAATAGCCTAGTAACTTACTAGCGCTATATAAATAACATATTAATTAACTATCTAGACAACTTTTACATTACCTATTTAAATAACATCCTTATTTACTTTAAAAATAAGGTAACTTATATCTTCTATGTTAAAAAAGTTTTAGAGAGGCTCTAGTAAGTAAAATTATAAGTATAGATTAAAAAAAGTAAATTTTATGTTACTTAAATAAAGTATTTTAGCTATATACTTTTAAATAAAGGACTAAAGGTTAACCTATAGAACGTAAAGGTGCTACGCAACTAGCAGGCGCCTACTGCTATAACAGGTGTAAAATCCTTTTTAGGCTTTACTAGATTTTATTAATAATGTATTCTAAAAAAATTTTATATAGTAAAACTAATTATTACGCTTTAAAGTTCTACTACCCCTTTTATGTAGACTTTAGAGTGTAATATAGCTCTTAAAAAACTAAAGTCTACGCTACTAAGTATACCTACACTTTACTATTTTAACTTTATGTTATAAACTAAAATTAAAACTAATGCTTCTAATAAGGTAGTAGTAAAAGTTCTATCTTAGGAACATGCTAATAAAAATTAGTGCATTGTTTTATTTTATAGTAAGGTCCTATCTAGTTTAGAGCTAAACTAGGAAATATATAATAAGATGTCTGTACGCAGCAGCAGCGTTGCGGCCTGGATACAAGCGATCGCGCATGAGCAGGATCACGTATCTATGTCACATGATGCTTGTGCGCGAACCTCTGTGCGCAAACATCTAGATATCCCCCTTTTCCTTTATATAGAGGAAAGACAAGAGCAATAGAACTAGAAACATGTTGCCCTTACTTTACCTACCTTATATGCTGTGCACACTATACGCTACTCTTACTTTTGCTACTTAAGTGCTTATACTATAAGCAGCTAGCTGTTAGAGCCTATTTAACACTAATTAGTAGTTAATTTAATTAACTATAAATTAGCAAAAGTAATAACAGAGTACCTACGCTTTGTAAGGTACTTTGTTTTATTACCTATCCCCTAGAAAGAGTAACAACAGAGCACCTACGCCCTGTAAGGTACTTTGTTTAGTTACCTATCCCTTAGGATAGCAGATTAATCCTTTACATTGTACAGCAAGCTCTGCTACTGTACAAAGTAAGGAGGAGATAGTGTAGGGCGCACACTAAAGCCATTAAAGCTGCACAACCTAGCAGCTAGACAACAGCAGTACCCGCGCAATCTACTGTGACGGCGTGTACCGCCTCACATGCTCTGCGGCATCAGCTCCCTCGCTTGCGCAACGAGTAGCACGCTAGTGCTACGAGTAGCGCCTTGGCAGGGGGCACACATCAAATATTACACTATCTCTACCGCCAAGCCCTCTCTCCTATTGGTCCGGATATAAGCCGGCTATTGATTTGATTGGTAGAAAATTAGTAACTAAAAAGCCGCGTTACTGTTTGTTTTTAAGCTTTAAGTAATTGTTCTGCTATGCTACATGCTTAATCTAGTCTTCTTTTTTTCCTATTGTAATTAACTACTGCACAGTTAGGGGTGTAAAAATTACTTCTACAGTGTAATTTTTCCTACTAAATGTAATTAGCTCTGCTAAAACCTTCTAAGCAAAGCCTGCTGCAGGTGAAAAGGGGGTTCTAGAGGATCTCCCCCTAGTTAAGCAAAATAGTAGTGCGACTTTAGGCTTTAGCTCTACATCTACTCTAACCTGTTCTAATCTTTCTTAACTAGACATTATCTGCTTTAATACTTTTACAGCCTTAGTTAACTTTACTTTATAATAATAATAAGTTATAGTAAGCTACTGTATTATAGCTATCTATAATGTACGTAAGTGTATTAAGTTATTCTACGTTATCTACTAACCTCTACAAAGAATTGTGAAGGCCTTAAGATTACACCTAACATAATATTAGCCTAACATAAAACACTTTTAACTGTTTTCTTTTTTCTTTAAGCTATAAAGCTATACTAATTATATTAAAATTAAGAGCATATTTACATACTATAAACTATTACATAGAGGGTAAGAGCTTAGAGGCGTTCTATTACTTAGAATAATAAGTTTAGATAGCTTAAATTTTTTCTTATATAAAATTTTTTCTTAGAGGTTTTTAGCCTAATTAAGTTCTTTTTTAAACTTAATAAGGACGCTGTTTTAGAAAAGGTTATACTTCTAAAGACTCTAAAGAAATAAATTTATTTAGTGTAGCATAGGCTTTACTGCGCCTTATTTTAATAAGTAGGATTTTAATCTACTTAAAGTTAATCTATCTTTAATCTGCTTTAACTTTTTTTAATTAGTACTTTTCTCTCTTAACCTGTCCTCTCTTTCTTATTATATAGTGTTATCCCTTTATATTATTACTATATAGACTTATTGCCTACTTTTTGCCTAGTCTGTAATAACTACAGACCTCTCTCTAACTTTCCTACTAATAAAGTTAGAGCTCTTTATTACTAGTGCAATAGATATAGCTGTGCAGTATATTGCTTTATTATAATTATTATATTTTTTAGCGCTTATATCTAGTTCTATTTAGGCGCGTTAGCTATTAGCTAATGTTAACTCTAATGTATAACCCTTAAAATGTGTTTAAGCTTGCGCTACTATAGTCTAATTAGGTCTATGCTAGGGCTAACCTGCACATGCTAGGTGTAACACTGCATTAAGCAGAATGCTAGTGCTTAATTAATTATTTTATATATATTAAAACCTTTTTAAGACTTTTACACTCTTTTTTACTTCTTTTACACTATTTATCTAGATCTATTATAATATATAATTAACCTTTTTTAAGTTCTTTACGCTAACTTCTACTCCTTCTACGCTGTTTATATGTATATATTATTATAATATATAGCTAACTTTATAAAGACTTGTTTAATTTCTACTCTTTTAACACACTTTAGATTAGCCTGCTTTATTCTTATCTATGCGTAGAGATTAAGAGCAACTAAGGGATAATCTCTTATAAAATAATTTACTAAAGGCATATATTATTGCTACTATAGACTATATTACTTTTATTAACTTTAGTCTAATGCAGAATCTTATAAGTAGCTATTCTAACTATAGTGCCTTTTACTAGCCTAAGAAGCAAGTTAATAAGAGTTAGGCAGATTCTCCTTAGTACTTTATATGTTACCTAATAGATAATATTAACTTTTTAACCTTTTTAGATCTACTTTTATTTCTGTGTTATCTTTTATAGAGTAGGCACCTACTTAGTAGATCTTTTTAAAAGCATTTTTAATTATATAACATAGCTTTAGCTTTTACGTTAGCTAACTACAAACAAATAGATTAAGGTGTGTGTAGCATAAGCATAAAGGTTTTTTAGATTATAGGGGAGATGTACTATATGCACAGCCTATTAGAGCCTGCTAAGGGGGACATCCCCTCCTACGCACAGCTGTACTTTTACAATCCTGCCTAGGCTAACAGTGCATGTATAGGGCATTAGGCTAATAGTGGTCTTAATCTAACTATACTTACGCAGCTACTATAGATAGTTAAGATAGATTATAACAATCCTTAGATTAAAATATACAAAACTGCATATAAGTAGTTATAGTAAGCTTATAAGCAAGATAAAAAATTATAGATTACTTTTAATCTACAACTGCAGTTAATTATGCAGGCTAGGGCTAATTAACATTAAAAGAACCTGCCTGTTGCTAAGAAAATTACTACTCTAGTCTATAATAAGCTAGTTAAGGATTATAACTAAGATTTTATTTTTTACTACTAACTTAGCTCTAATCTAAGACACTGTTAGTCTCTATACTAAAAAATTAAATATACACATGCAGTATATTAGCCTCTTTACTATGTTTTAATGTTTTTATAGGGTACTCTTAGGTTTTACTATAGTTTATAGCTGCGTACTTTACGCATGTCTTACACCTAGGATACTCTAACTAATTCTAAGTATTACTAATTCTACTTATTTCTCTAGCATAGTAGTCTTATTATGCCTTTTAATTATAGTCTGTTATTCTAGCAATTTGTTATTAACTACTAGGCTTAGTGTAAATAAAGGAAGTTATAGTAGATTGCAGTAAATTAAAGACAGTTACATGCTAATTTATATTAAGAAGTGTGTAATGCATTAGATTAGAATAACTTTTAGGCTAATTTAGTTAGGATTTAGACTATTTTTCTTTTAAGTTACATTAGCAGTAGTTGCTTTATTACGCAGTGTTATTAAAACTTTATAGCTATTATTTAAAAGCTTAGTTAACTTACTTTATTTATTACTTTTACTACTAATTCTAAATAGCTAGAGTTAGAGCAGGAGATTAGTACGTTCTTTTAGCTATTAGATTAGCTAGATCTAGTTGCGCGCGTTTTTAAGCTGCGTCTTAACTCCCTCCTTACAGACCTCTAGACTAACTATGTATTTAGCTAGTATACTAGTATTATGTATACTATTAAGTACTAGAAGTAAAGTTTACTTTATACTTACATTTTACTTTTTTTATGTTATAATTACTATAATTAGTTCCTTAATTTAAACTTTATTAATTAGGTTATATAAGCTAAGCTCTTTATAAAGGCTTAAAATCTAAATAAAGTTCTAAGTAACATTATTAAAACTACTATAGTTTATAGGCTATGTAGAACCTTAAATCCTAGCATGCCCTGTATGCAGACTATAGAGCGTTCTCTCTAAGCAACCTGTTAGAAGTAATTCTTAAAGGAATATGCTAATAAGACTCTAGTTAGTAGAAATAGTTATTTTATATATTAGTGTTAACCTAGTTTAACTTAAGTTATAAAGTGTTATAGTTAAAATGTTATAGTTAATAATTACTAAGTAGTGCTTTATAGTTTATACTTTTTATGTAAGTACAACACACATGTTAACGTAGAGGTCTGTGCCTCTATAAAGTTAGTTAAATATATACATAAGTATATTTATAAGGGCACTAATTAGGTTGTTATCTGTATCTAGTAAGGGGACAAGGTTGCCTAGTATCTAAACATGCGCTATATTAGACTAACTAAGGCTGTTTAGTAATTAATAAAGTTTAAAGTTTATAAAAAAAAGCCTTTTATTATTTAATTAGTAGTGCATTTACTAGGACAGTATATAGTTACCTTTTATAATAAGGATAGTGCTAAATAGGTAGAGATTATAGTTAAACAGAAAAAATTATTATTAATAAGATAGTTAAAGTATAATGCTCTCTATATAAATAGGCGTAATTTTTTTTACTAGGACTTTCTAATCTAGTATTATTAGAATCTAGGGAAAGATAGTAGTAAATAGACTTAGTTTTAACATAATTAGTACTCTATTAGTTATGTCTACTTTTGTAGTCCTTTCTCTAAGGAGTGTTTTTATTTTAAGATGCTTCTTATGTAAATTTTAGGTGCAATTAGTTTTAAACATTTTTATATAGTTAATAGTTAGATTTAACTTACTTTTAAGAACACTTATTTAGCTTTTAATCTCTTAGTTAAAGATAGATTATAGTAGTATATATTTTTTAAGCTTTAGCATTTAGCACTTACTTTTAAGTTATATTATGTCTTTCTCTAGGCCTTAGTCTTTAGAAATGTAGGTAATTTTATAGTGTTATAAGATAAGTTCTTCTAACATCTATCTAACAACCTGCCCCTCTACTTAGAATAAATAGTGTTGCCCCCTAGCATTACTAATTTTATAAAAAATCTATGCCTGTAGCTAATTAACTAGGCTATGCTTAAGTTATTTAAAAAGAACTTTTCTAATTTTAACATGCCTATGCTATAGAGATATTAAGTGTAAGAGGCTGTTAATTTATTAGTTACTAAGCAGCTTAATTATAACACTATAAAGTAGAATCTTAATTATACTAATGTGTATAATAAGCTAAATAAGGCCTAACTAAAAGTTTTTTATGCTGTTACTTAGTTTATCCTTACTACACTATAATTTAGTTACTACTTTGTTTAGAGCTCTAGCAGAACTAAAAAGACTTTTTTATATAAGACTATTTGCACTTATCTTTAGACCTAACACAAGATTGTTTTGTGCGTAGCATTATCTAGCATTACTGCGCTCCTTCTTCCTAGCAGCTGCACTGCTTATTATTAGTTTAAGATACCTATTAATATTAAAAACAGATCTACCTGCTTTATGCGTGCAGACTCTTCTGCTGCGGACCTTATTTATTAGATAGATTTAATTATATAAGATAAGGTTCTAATGTAGCACTAGTACTACTTTAAAGCAGTTAACTGTACACTATAAGATATTATAAAGAACAACTCTCTATTTAGAGGTATTCTAGTGCTGTTAGGAGGGGACTTTACCTAGATCCTTCCTATTATTTCGCGCAGTAGGAGGTTATAGACTGTACAAGCCTGCCTTTAGAACTTTTATTTATAGCTATACTTTACTATTCTACAGCTAACAGAGAATATAAAAATAAGGTAGAGACCTGCTAACTAAGAATATGCTTAGTAGATATTAGACTTAGCTAGGTGTAATAAGAAGTCTATTATGCTTCTTTCTAAAATCTAGTAGTTTTAGTCTATATCTGTATTCTATTCCTACATCTATCTACTTAATCTACTTTAGAAACCTACTAACCTAAAAGTCTATGCTTTTTTATTAAAGTAAAGGTGTATATTAGTAGTCTAGAAT